CCCCCCCCCCCCCCGGTTTCTAAATTCTGTGACTTGATCAGTTTATATTTATTTTAGTCCTGGAATATATTTTTTTTATGTGCATCCATCTTGTTTAGGGTGCATGATTTCTGATCACTGCACCATCTCAGCATAATCAGTAATTAATTCAGGCATGCATTGGCTGTCATGAAGACTGTATTTAGTAAATATATGTTTATGTTCATTATCTAGCGACATAGGAGCTGGTGGAAGGGGGCTTACATGTGTCAGTCAGCTCTAGCACATGCTGTTGGAATGTGCTGCTTGTGGAGGTATGCATGTAGGCCTCTACCTCACTGTGTGTAGACTTTTTCCAGATTACCAACTACTGTACGTGAATGGACCAGTAATAGCTAATATAACTGTGACCTCCTTGTTTTTCCTTGTTTTTTCCCCCTTTCCTTCCTTCCTCCTTTAATTCTGCATCCATCTTCTTCAGAAGGCATTCATAAATATTCCCCCAAATCCCAAAGACAGCATTTTTTCTTTGATTCTTATTCCTTACCATCTGACTGAAGCTAGAGTCCAGATCCCTGCACTTTTGTGGTTATTGCACTCGGCAGTTTGAAATAACTAAAGCCTGATGCGAGCTGGAACACTGAAACCTGATGTAAATTGTACTATTGATATCCATCACCAAGTGATACTGGGATTTGCCTCTAGTTCATCCCCTGAAGAGGCATGGGGTAGTTCCCCCACCTGTACTATACTATAACAGCCTTTGTTGATGTTTTCTCATGACACTGTGGCTTTAATTCATTAAATGTTGGCTTTTAGACTTTGCACAGAACAAATCAGAATTGTAATCTAACTCCTGGAGACCTTTGATCAGTAGCTCCCTTGATGGGCAGTGTGAGACTTTGCTTTATGATTTGGTGGTGGTTTATGGGACAACACCTTGACTGTTACTCTGCATTGTAACCCTGCAGGTTCATTCCAGAATCCCCTCGGTGGCTGCTCTCTCAAGGAAAGCTTCAGGAGGCAGAAGCCATCATTCGAAAGGCTGCACAAATGAATGGTGTTACTGCTCCAGAAGTTATATTTGACCCTGCTGAGGTAAACCTGCATATGGATTGCTTCTCTTGGCAGATTCTTTCCACACTCCTGTATTTGGATATGGTCACAGCAATTAAAATACTTTGTAATAAAGCCCACCAACTCCAGTTACACAGAATGGTTGACTATCCAGTTCCTTCCATCCCTAATAATGTTACAGCCATATGAAAGGCACACTGCCTTTCATAAAAGCTTGACTATGCACTCAGATGCCTTAAAATGCAACACTTATATTATTCCTCAGATTTGGTTGGTGTACAATGTTAGGGTCCTTTTTATATATATCACAACGGGCTTCGAGATCTTGCTGCCTGATTATGTTAGAGACATCCCCCAGTTACTGAGATACTGTATTTTCCATCTTAAAGATCTAATAATTCTACTTCTTGGAAAATGCCATTCTTTCCTACTATGAAACTATTGTGATTTCATATACGGACTGAAATGAGGTTATCCAAGTGTCTCAGAAACTTAATAGATATTACCCATTATATTATTGAGTAACACAGTTCCATTGTATGCATGTCATATTTACAGTCCAAATTCAAACTCCCTGCAAAGTTGAAATTAAGATGAAGTTCTCCACACTTTACCTTCAAACTGAACGAACATTTCCTCTAATTTTCAGCGCTACTGGGCAGGACTCTGCCCCTTTGTTGTGCGACTCTCCTCCCCCTGCACCTCACTCCACCCACACCCACGCAGGATTCTATCACAAAGGGAAGGGAAACAATTGCTGTGGTGAGTGGAGGAGGTGGAGCCCTGCTCAGAGGTGGTAGATTTGCGCGTGCTCACACAGCTGCGCACCTTAGAAGTAACCTTGAACTGGACAGTTTTGGTATCTTCCAAATGTAAACATTTTGCAGGCTGAATGTTTGTTTCCTCCTTTGTGCTGGTGTGTACAAACATAGATTTTTTTTTAAAAAAAGGCTTACTGACACCATGGAGCTGTCCACATTCATAAGCTCATACAGCACCAAGAATGCATTTTTCATTTTTTATTACTGTCCATGGAACATTTTGTTACCACATTTGAACTGAGAAACACACGGTTTGAACAGAACACGAGGACACTTCCCAAACATCAAGTCATTATTGATGACTTGAGGAAAATATTAGGTGACCTGTCTGGTACAGCCATTCACATTTCATATAATCTCTTTCCCCAGAAATCCAGAAAACATATTTTTCATCTGATATTTCTAATTTAATTAGAATAGTGGCAAATTTCTAAGAACTATCATTTAAATTAAAAAATGATTTTTTTTCCTACACTGACTGCTGTTGATCCTAAATATTTCTCAATGGTATGAGGCTTTCATATCTTTTGGACAACAGGTCCCAGAATTTACCAGGAGTTCCCACACCTAGATTTCTGGAAACCGTTGCCAAAAAATCTAAAGTATTTACAAGAGTTTTCCATCAGCTCCATTTGGTACCTCTCTTAGAGCCATGAGGTTGCTGTGAAGACAAGGGAAGTTTTGCTGGGATGGACTAAGATCTAGAAGAACTAACTGTAAGGCACTATGGCCTGTTTGAATACATGCAGGATACCACTCAAAACACTTTCAGTCCCATAGAGCCTTGCAGATCCTCTGAAGATTAGCCCCTCCCTCCAGCGTCCCTCATTCTCAGAACAACATCATGGCTCTGAGGAAGTACCAAACAAAACTGATTGGAAATCCCTGTAAGCATCTAAGATTTTTGGCAACAGTTCCCAGAATTTTGACTGGGAGAATTCTTAGTAAATTCTGGGACCAGTATTCGTTTGTTTGTTTGTTTGTTTGTTTGTTGCATTTATTCCATTTATATGCCGCCCATCTAGACATCGTCTAGTTAGTAGTCAAAAAGATATGAAAGTCCCATGCATATTTTTAATACAACTATATTGCATTAGGAAAATTCATTGTAGCAACATATGATAGTAATGATTTTTCTCCTGTTGTGTGATTGCTTTGTCTGTAGCTACAAAATTTGAGTTCTCATGACCAGCAGATATACAGCATTTTGGATCTAGTGAGGACCCAGAACATCCGATGTATCACCATCATGTCTGTAATTTTATGGTAAGCAAATGGTTTTTAAAAAAGGAACTCCTAGAATTTACACACATGTCCAAGGCCTGAGAATTATATTTAAAGATCTGAACCTCCAATTTCACACAATTTATCTAGAGATAAGTGTACATCACACTTTGCAGAATAGCATATCCAGATGTCCTTGATCTAGTTTATATCACAAAGGATTCATTGTTCCAGCTAGCATTGCCAACTTTCTTGAACCCTAGTTAAATCATGAGAGAAGGGCTTCTATGTGTGGATGTGTTTGGTATAACACAGTAATCTTGCTGTATCTTAGAATTCGAAGTTACATGATCAGCACCCTTCATGATTTATCTATTGACAGATTGCTTGCAGGGGTTGATTTAAATTGTTTAGCTACAGGATCCCTTCACACACAAAGAATGTTAGATACTCTCAAGGAATCACATTCTCATCATGTTAAATAGGAATGTACTGAGTACTGTTCATTCCCCCCTCTGCAGTGGTATAGTTCAGTAATGTATGAGGTTGTTGATCATATGTCTGCACTCTAGGAACCATCATAGTTCTAATATCTTCCTACAAAGGTAATCTTTACATAGCACTTTACATAGGGGAAGTGCTATCAATCTGTACCCACAACAATAATTGTGTGCCATAAAGTCAATCTTGACTGATGGCGATTTTACATAGGGGAAGTGCTATCAATCTGTATCCACAACAGCAGCAGCAGCAACAACTACAAACAACAATAATTGTGTGCCATAAAGTCAGTCTTGATTGATGGCGATACTTTCCAGGGTTTTCTAGGTAGAGAATACACAGAAGGGGTTTACCATCCCCTTCTTCCGGTTTGTGTGTGTGTGTCCTGGGACTGTGCACCTTGCCCATGACTACGCAGGCTGGTTCTTCTCCCAGGAGGCACAGTGGAGAATTGAACTCCCAACCTCTGGCTCGGCAGCTAGATACCTAAGTCACTGAGCTATCAAGCTAGCACACACTGTCCTAAAGTATCTCTTCAGATGAGTGGTTTGTACAGAAGACCCAAACGCATAGTGTTCCAGTCCATGCAAGTCTTCCTTTTCAGTAAAGGAGGAAAGGACTCCATGATCAGGATGCCACAGGTCCAATCATGTGTTGTGTCCACTTTGCCCATTACTTTAGGTGTATGGTGGACAAGGGGGGAAGTATTCTCTGCATGAATGAACCCTCTACATTAACGGAATGCTGCCCTAGTAAAGTGTCTGAGCAAGGCTGAGTTTCCTCTCTGAGTACTCTTCAGACTAGACAACAGTGCAGAAAGCAAAAGCAGGGTTGAATAAATTTCGGGAGCACCTGCTGCTTTATGTTTTGCCCTATAGATAATGTACGGTAGGCTCCCCATATCCACGGAGACAGTATCTGCAGATCTAGCTGTCTGTGGTCGCCACTGCTACAGCCAAGCCCACAGTGTGCACACATGTGCACTTACCTCCTCTTCTCATCCTCGCTCCTGCCTCTCCCTGCCTGCAACCCCCAGTGCTGCGATCCAGCCCACAATGTGCTTTCTTTAATGAGTTAACTACTGTTTGCAGTTCCACACATCTGCGGGGGGAGGGGCCTTCCGATTTCTCTCCCCTGGATATGGGGTGGGGGTGGGGTTCTAGTGAACAATTCTAGTGCAACACAATACTGTTTCAAGGCCCTGAACAATTTGTTATAATAGAGCTGTATCTTTCAGGATGGTCATTTCCATAGGCTACTTTGGCCTCTCTCTGGACACTCCTAACTTGCATGGGGACATCTATCTCAATTGCTTCCTTTCGGCGGTAATCGAAGTCCCAGCTTATACCATCTCTTGGCTACTCCTCCAGTATCTGCCCCGGCGATATTCCATGGCTGGAGTCTTGTTTTTAGGAGGCGGTGTCCTTCTCTTCATTCAGTTGGTGCCTACATGGAAGAATAAGTTGCTTAATACCTTCCTTCTCCCCCCCCCCACCTTCCTTTCTTAGTGGTAATAAACAGGGATGGCCAGCTTGAACTCTGGGTGAAAGGACCATAATCCGTGAGCTAGTGGAACTTAATGGCACTGAAAGCACACAGGAACATGAAAACCTGTTCTATTTTAACAGATAAAACCCTAAAAGAGAAAAGTTCACAGTGAAGGTAAACATACGATAAAATAGGCTGTGGCTTGTAAAGGGTTAGTCTTGGAAGTATCACAAGCCTTTTGGGTTTTTTGTTGAAACAGATGAACATGACTAGCCTGATAAAACTTCCTAGAAAGGCCATCTGTTGACATAGCACTGAAGGCCTGGAACCCGTTCATTTGTGAGGAAGGTGGGATATAACTAAAGTAGACAATAAAAGGTACCCTTGAATTTACAAGGGAAAAGTCACAAATACTAGATTACAGTGAAAACAGCAGGAGAGGCAGGAGGGTGATAAATATTTTATTGAAATGACAGTGTCTTGCCTGTCACATACATAGCTTGGCTCTTTCTTATAGATCTCAGCATTCTGTCTATTATCCTGGTAATGACTGGAAAGTTTGGGATCACAGCCTCCTTCTCAATGGTGTATGTGTACACAGCTGAACTCTACCCAACCGTTGTGAGGAACATGGGAGTTGGTGCCAGCTCAATGGCCTCCAGACTTGGCAGCATCCTTTCACCTTATTTTGTATATCTTGGTAAGTTACCCACCTTCTTGTTCCACTGGGTCAAGTGCCATTGCCCTGCTACCTATTTTTCAGTGAGCTCTCCCATTAATCAGAGCCACTTTCTGATACTCAGTACCTTGTTGACTTTGAGACGTCCCATTTAGAGATGGACATAAATTAAAAAACGAATCACCAAATTTGTTTTAAAAATAGTTTGTCGATGAATGAACCAGTGCCCCAATGAATCAACAAATTTTTAGCAATTTTTGACTTGCCAATCTGTTTGGCTATGAAACAGCCCCCAAGGCACCTAGAGACACCAAATTTGCAGGGAAGCTTCTCTCTACTCTCTACAATGCCTCCAAATTCGGTGAAGATTGGGTTTCAGATGTCTAAGTTACACTCACAAACCCGCTCCCCCAAGAAAGTTCCCCCAGGCACCTAGAGACACCAAATTCAGAGAAGCTTCCCGTGATGCTCCTCTACAATCCCAGGTTTGGTGAAGATTGGATTTCAGACATTCATGTTATAAACCCACAAAGTGGGTCACCCCAGGGAAGTGTCCTTTAGCAGGTCTAGGTGTCTCTGGGTGTTGCGGGGGGCATCTTATAGGGTTTTAAAGTAAAAAACCAAATTGATTAATCAGAAAAATTCATCGACCTTGAGGAATCAGTATGGATCACCATTTTTCTGATTCGTGCCAATTTCTAATCCCGTCTGTTCTAGTCTAGGGGAGGATCATTAAGTTGCTTAATGAGCATTCTGCTCAAAAGATTGCAATTAGCTTTCCCTGGAACAGCAGGGGTCCTCAGAACCCAGTTTGTAAATGATTGGTGTACTGTATATAATAATACATTTTGTCATTATCTGCTGTGTGCTTTCTAACAGGTGCCTATGATAGATTTCTTCCCTACATTTTAATGGGAAGTTTGACCGTGCTTACAGGAATTCTGACCCTCTTTCTTCCAGAAAGCTATGGTGCACCTCTTCCAGACACCATTGAGCAGATGCTAAGAGTTAAAGGGTATGTCTGATTAATTTGTTATGTAGTAAAATTACACAGAGACAGCAGGAAAGATTTACAGGTGGTGTTGTAAAGACATTAGAAAATCAGTAAGACTGTACTAGAAATTTGGTAAATATTAGGTAAGCAACCTATTCTTTTCCCATAAAAGCCCATATGGATGTACAGATCTGCTGCAGGGGCTGTTCTTACAGTCTCATCATCACTTTCAGAGGCTGTTTTGGTAGGAGACTCAAGAGAGTCCAAAAAAGAGTTGTTCAAAGCTCTGGAGCTCCTTGCCAATTGATGTTAGATTTGCCCCCTCATTGCAGTCCCTTTCACTGGCAGGCAAGGACCTTTTGGTTCAGCCAGGCCCTTCGACAATTAAGAGCCTCAAATTCTAAAATTTTAGTCTGTTGCGTTGGTTTTCTTTTCTTCTTAAGGCAAACTAGTATTAGTGTTTTAACCAAGTGATTTTAAAGTGTTGTAATTTTAATTATATTTTAATAACACATTTAATTCTCATTTCATGTTCATACTTTTCAGTGTATTGTAATTTTATATTTTTAATTGTTTTGTAAGTTGCCTTGGGTCCTGATTCTGGGAGAAAGGGAGCATATAAATAAAATAAAAATCTGCCTATTGAATTCATGCTGAAACATTTCTCTTGATACGGAGATGAAATAAACCTCATAATTTTGAAGCATTTTCTTTTAACATTTTTACAATTTACCTTTCCTTCTGTTCATTTCTTTGCAGAATTAAATACAGAAATACAAATAAAAGCCAAAAGAAATCAGAGGATAAAGAAGAAAATTCAGAGATTCTGAAAAGCACATCTTTATGATGGAAATCTATTGTATACTATATTATGAACTGAAGAATACCTAAACACTTCCTTTAATTTACTTCTAGATAGGATTAATGGAAACCTCTTTTTTCCTATAAAGATAAACCTATTTATTAAACACACATTCATTTTTGTGAATGCAAATATACTGTATAATCTCCCTATGGGATCTCTAGCAGCAGTATGCAAGGTTTTGTGGGAAATGATTGGGTGATTGGGGTCTGCTTGCCTTTAGGACTGCTGGCAAATAACCCTTCTTGTACTGTCATGGTTTTTAAGAGATGATTGAAGATGGAGATTGATGAATTGATTTTAGTACTTAGTTAGCACTGGTAAAAGGCAGATATGTTCTGGACCTGCAGTTTTGTCAAATGGGATTAACAGTCATGAAATAATTGCTACCAAGATAAAATAAAATTTAACAAAGTTAATGCAGAATGCTTTAATCAGTGTTTTACACAGAAATGGAAAGTGTTTTTGAATTGGCAGTCTGGTTTTGCTTGCAACACTACTTTGTGTTTTTCAGATATAGTTTAATAATAACTACTGGATATAATTTTTTACATCTGGGAATTACTGTATGTATATGCCTTATTTAGGCATATATAAATTTTTAAAAAAACACTGAGTAGCCTGAATCTGTAGTCCTTCTGTTTTCTTTCAGGTGTTCCGTAAACTGAACTTTCTCCAAGTTACTTTTAAGTCTGAAAGGCAGTGGAGCTAAGAAATGTCTGCATTTCCAATAATCTTTTTCCATCTGTGCCTGAAATATTTTGAATTACATACTGTTTATGTAATAAAGCTACTTGAGAAGCCTGAATGTCCTAACTATTGCCTTTTAAATAAATGCAGAGTTCATTTTTAATGTTGTTGTTTAGTTGTTAAGTCATGTCCGACTCTTTGTGACCCCATGGACCAGAGCACACCAGACCCTCCTGTCTTCCACTGCCTCCTGGCGTTTGGTCAAATTCATGTTGGTCACTTCGATGACACTGTCCAACCATCTCGTCCTCTGTCGTCCCCTTCTCCTGCCTTCACACTTTCCCAACATTAGGGTCTTTTCCAGGGAGTCTTCTCTTCCCATGAGATGGCCAAAGTATTGGAGTCTCAGCTTCAGGATCTGTCCTTCCAGTGAGCACTCAGGGTTGATTGCCTTCAGAATGAATAGCTTTGTTCTCCTTGCAGTCCAGGGGACTCTCAAGAGTCTCCTCCAGCACCACAATTCAAAAGCATCCATTCTCCGGCTGTTAGCCTTCTTTATCGTCCACCTCTCACTTCCCTACATCACTACTAGAAAAACCATAGCTTTGACTATGCGGACTTTTGTCGGCAAGGTGAGGTCTCCGCTATTTAAGATGCTGTCTAGGTTTCTCATTATTTTCCTCCCAAGAAGCAGGTGCCTTTTACCGTCTGCTGTCACCATCTGCAGTGATCATGGAGCCCAAGAGAGTAAAATCTGTCACTGCCTCCATATCTTCCCCATCTATTTGCCAGGATGTGATGGGACCAGTGGCCTCAGCTTTTTTGATGTTGAACTTCAGACCACTTTTTTGCACTTTCCTCTTTCATCCTCATTAAGAGGTTCTTTAATTCCTCCTCACTTTCTGCAATTAGAGTGGAATCATCTGCATATCTGAGGTTATTGATATTTCTCCAGCAAACTTAATTCCGGCTTGGGATTCATCCAGTCCAGCCTTTTGCATATAAGTTGAATAACCAGGGGAACAATATACAGCCTTGTCATATTCCTTTCCTAATTCTGAACCTATCAGTTGTTGCATATCCAGTTCTAACTGTTGCTTCCTGTCCCACATACAGATTTTTCAGGAGGTAGATAAGGTGGTCAGGCACTACCATATCTTTAAGAACCTGCCATAGTTTGCTGTGGTCCACACAGTCAAAGGCTTTTGAATAGTTAATGAAGCAGAAGTAGATGTTTTTCTGGAACTCTCTGGCTTTCTCCATTATCCAGCCCCTTCGACATCTAGCTTGTACTTCTGTGAGTTCTCGGCCCACATACTGCTGAAACCTACCTTGTATGATTTTGAGCATAACCTTGCTAGCATGTGAAATGAGTGTAATTGTACGGTAATTGGAGCATTCTTTGCAACAGCCCTTCTTTGGGATTGGGATGTAGACTGATCTTTTCCAATCCTCTGGCCACTCCTGAGTTTTCCAAACTTGCTGGCATATTGAATGTAGCACCTTGACAGCATCATCTTTTAAGATTTGAAATAGTTCAGCTGGAATGCCATCACCTCCACTGGCCTTGTTGTTAGCCAGGCTTTCTAAGCCACTCAGAGTGGTTACTTAGACCAGATGGGCGGGATATAAATCAAATAAATAAATAAATAAATAAATAAATTCTCCAGGATGTCTGGCTAAAGGTTAGCAACCACACTATCTGGGTTGTCCGGGACATCCAGATCTTTCTGGTATAATTTCTCTGTGTATTCTTGCCACCTCTTCTTGATGTCTTCTACTTTTGTAAGGTCCATACCATTTTTGTCCTTTATCATGTCCATCTTTGCACAACATGTTCCTTTATTATCTCCAATTTTCTTGAACAGATCTCTGGTTTTTCCCTTTTCTATGATTTTCCTTTATTTCTTTGCACTGTTCATTTAAGAAGGCCCTCTTCTCTCTCTTTGCTATTATTTGGAAGTCAGCATTCAATTTTCTGTAACTTTCCCTATCTCCCTTGCATTTTGTTTCCCTCCTCTTATTTGCTATTTGTAAGGCCTCGTTGGACAGCCATTTTGCTTTCTTGCACTTCCTTTGCGATGTTTTTTGTTGCTGCCTCCTGTACAGTGTTACAAGCCTCCATCCATTGTTCTTCCAGCACTCTGTCCACCAAATTGAGTTCCTTAAATCTGTTATTCACTTCTATTGGATATTCATAAGAGATTTGGTTTAGATTAGACCTGATGAGCCCAGTGGTTTCTTCTACTTTCTTCTGTTTAAGCTTGAGTTTTGCTATAAGAAGCTGATGATCAGAGCCACAATCAGCTCCAGGTCTTCTTTTTCCTGGCTGTATAGAGCTTCTCCATCTTTGGCTGCAGAGAACATAATCAGTCTGATTTCGGTATTGCCCATCCTGTGATTTCCATGTGTAGAGTCGCCTATTGTGTTGTTGGAAAAGAGTGTTTGTGATGACCAGCTTGTTTTCGTGACAAAACTCTATTAGCCTTTGCCCTGCTTTGTTCTGAACTCCAAGGCCAAACTTCCCTGTTGTTCCTTTTATCTCTTGACTCCCTACTTTAGCATTCCAATCCCTTATAATGAGAAGAACATCTTTCTTTGGTGTCAGTTCTAGAAGGTGTTGTAAGTCTTCATAGAATTTGTCGATTTCAGCCTCTTCAGCATCAGTGGTTGGTGCATAAA